TCAGGTAAAATTTTGCTAGGATTTTATATGAAAGGAAAGGAGTTTTTTTAATTCCTTTAAAAATTTTTAAATAACCAACTAATTTTAATATACTTGGGAGTTAATAAAACTTATCTGCGCTCTGCTATCACGTTGAGTTCTTGAAACGCTGTATCTTTGATCACAAGTCGTTAGGCATTTTCTCCCCTCCTTTCTCCCGAATGCCTAAAGCATGATATGTGTGTGCCCTTTTCCCCAGGCATTCCGCTAGTAATTCACGCAGCAGAAACCAATGAAATTAAACGGCCAATAAAAAGGAATATGGGCTGCACTGCACCCAATCAGAAATAAAGATGAAGCTCCTGATAAGTCAAGAAATAGGTAGACAAGTGTATGCATAATACCAAGATGGAAAGAAATCTTTGAGAAGCTCAGAAAACAGAAACGATTTTAGGGAAAGCTGCCTGGCCCTAGGGTAGCGAGGGGGCACCTCTGCATCCATCCTTGGCTCTTCCTTACAGTTTGAAATGTGGGCCTGTGCAGGTACCACTTTGATAAAATTTTTTAAATAACAAAAAATTAAACTCCAGTCAAGTATAAATTTAATTTCCATTTAAGTATATCTAAAGATTAAACACTGACTTTTCCAGCCACTGAGAGGACTTATCAAGCCTCTTGTACTTGTGCAGTAAGAATCCCTCGGTCAGGTCCGTAAGGAAGCCTCCCACTCCAGCCCCCAGACTTCAAGCGTGAGATGCTCCTTTTTGAAGGAAGCTGGACGGCCTCAGCTTGGAGCTGGGAGGCGGCGCCACAGCGCCCTCTGCTGGGTGCACTGCGCTGCGCCTCCGGTCCTAACTTCCGGGCACCAACTCCTCCATCTGAACTAAGGGGACTGGTGACGTCGTCCTGAACTTCATCACCTTCAGAGGTTTACCTGACGTCTTAATTTTAAAACGCAGTGAACACCTTGGGAGGTTCCACTGTGTATTAAGTTAATTTAAGGTATCAGTGGGCTTGTTCTGACCCTATTTAATAGCTATGGGGTTTTGAGGATGGTCTTACAAAGCAAAAGTTCATTTGTATTCTTTTCCACAATACTCGGAACTGCACGATTTTCAGCAGTCTTACACATGTCTGGCAAACTTCTGGGTGTCCCCAGGATCCTCTCAGGAGCTCCACGAGATCAAAACTGTTTTCACAATAATACTAACCCGTTAGTTGCTGTTTCCCGCGTGTTGACACTTGCCCCGACGATGCAAAACCAGCACGGCTGACACAGCCACGCACAAATCAGAGCAGACACATCAGAGTCTCTAGAAGTCACTGAAATCGTCACCATCATGCACGCACAGTAAAAAAAAAAAAAAAAGAAAGAAAGAAAGAAAAGAAATACCAAATGCTAGTTTCACTCAAGAATTCCCTGATGAAGCAGTAAAAACTATTAATTTTATTAAATCTCAATCCTCGAGAATACTTTAATATTCTGTGTGACGAAAAGTGCTTCTGCTTCTTCCCAAAATACGATGACAGTCTTGAGGAAAAGCTCATGGGCAAATGGCTTGTGAGCAGAACGAGCTACTTTTTTCATGAAACGCTATTTTTCCTCGAAAGGATGACAGGCAAATTATGATTATTCAGACTCGAAGATTTGGTACACATTTTCTCAAAACTGAACGGTTGTGAGCTTGACATCGAGGAAAACACGACAGGTTTTATTGTCAATATGTTCTCAAACCAAAAAAACAAAAAAATAGAATTTTGGAAAACTGGTATCTTGCTGAAGTTGGTGGTGGTGATATTAACCAGTGTGACTTTTTTCAATACCGTGCGATGAAATGTATCAACATTTGGAAGATCTGCAAACTCAGTGAACCAATATTTTCCAAGTGACCAAGTGCATGTTGTTACAAAACCGTGCATGTGGGTGAAAGATCCGTTCAAATTGCAAGAAAGACTAAAGTTTTCTTTTAATTAGTTGTATAGTTTTTATTGAGGTAAAATTCACATAACATAAAATGCACCATTTTAATCATGTAATTCAGTGGCATTTGGTACATTCACAATGTTCTGTAACCATTACCCTGTCGAGTTCCAGAACATTCTCATCACCCCCAAAGGAACCCTGTACCAGTTAGTAGTCACCTCCCATTCCCTCCTCCTTCAGCCCCAGGGCAACTAATCTGCTCTCTGTCTCTGGATTTGCCTGTTTTGGACGTTTCATACAAATGGAATCACCCAACACGTGGCCTTCTGTGATTGGCTTCTCTCACTGAGCATCATGTTTTCAAGGCTCATCCACATTGTAACATATGTCAAAACTTCATTCCTTTTTAGAGATGAATAATATTCAATTGTATGTACGGACCATATCTTGTTTATCCATTCATCAGTGACTGACATTTGTATTTTTCTGCTTTTTTTGCCGTTATGAATCAGGCTGCTACGAGCAAGTTTTTGTTTGAACACCTGTTTTCAATTATCTTGGGTAGAGTGAAATTGCTGGGTCATGTGGTTTAACTGAGTTTATATTTTAACAGCTGTTTGCCACGGTAGCTGAACCATTTTTCAGTCCCACCAGCAACTGAGGAGGGTTCGAGTTTCTCCACATCCTCACTGACACTTGTTACTTTCCTTTTTTCTCTTAATAGCCAACCTAGTGGGTGTGGAGTGGTACCTCACTGTGGCTTTAGTTTGTATCTCCCTAATGACTAATGATGTAGAGCATCTTTTTATGTGCTTACCGGAGACATGCCTATTCCAGGCCTTTGCCCATTTTTTAAAACTTTTTATTTTATATTGGAGCATAGCTGATTAACAATGTGGTGTTCATTGCTCATTTTTTAATTGTGTCATTTTATCATTTTGTTGTTGAGTCTCCATAGTTCTTTATAATATTCTGGATATAAGACCCTTATTAGATACATGATTTGCAAATATGTTCTCCCATTCCGTGGGTTGTCTCTTCACTCTCTTTATAGTGTCCTTTGACATACAGAAGTTTTTAATTTTGATGAAGTCCAACTTATCTTTTTTAAAGGTTTTTATCTTTTATTTTTTGTTTGTGCTTTTGGTGTCATATCTAAGATTCTATTCCCAAATCCAAGGTCATGGAGATAACCTTATTTTATGTGATTACCTCATGTTTTCCTCTAAGAGTTTTATAGTTTTAGCTCTTACATGTAGTTCTTTGATCCCTTTGGAGTGGATTTTTGTATATGGTGTGAGGTAAGGGTCCTGCTTCATTCTTTTGCACGTGACTATCTATTTATACCAGCACCGTTCGTTGAAGAGTGTATTCTTTCTCCATTAACTGGTCTAATAAACACCCTTGTTGAAAATCAGTTGACCCTATATGTATGGGTTTATTTCTGGACTCTCAATTCTATCCCATTGATCTATATGTCTGTCCTATCCCAGTACTGCACTGTTGTGGTTACTGTAACTTTATAATCAGTTTTGAAATGGGAACTTATGAGTCTTCGACCTGGTGCTTCTTTTTCGAGATTGTTTTGGTTATTTGGGGTCCCTTGCAATGCCATATGAATTTTAAGATCAACTTGTCCATTTGAAAAGGCAGCTGGAAGCTTTGTAGAGAATTTTGATTGAGACTACATTGAGTCTACAGATCAATTAGGACAGTATTACCATCTTAATAGTAAGCCTTCCAATCCATGAACATAGGACGTCTTTCTGTTTGTTTGGGTCGTCTTTAATTTCTCTCAACAGTGTTTCATAGTTTTTTCAGTGTACAAGTATTTCACCTCCTTGGTTAAATTTATTCCTAGGTATTTTATTCTCTCTGATACTATTGCAAATGGGATTGTTTTCTCCATTTCATTTTCATATCGTTCGTTATTTAGAAATATAATTGACTTTTGTATATTGATCTTGTATCTTGCAACCCGGGTGCTGATACTTTTGGGGGCGATCCTTTCCATATTTAAGATCATGCTGTCTGCAAATAGAGGTAGTTTTGCTTCTTCCTTTCCTGTGTGGATGCCTTTTATTTTCTTCTGTGGCCTAATGACCCTGGCTAGAGTTTCCAGTACAGTGTTGAATAGCAGTGGCAAGAGTAGATGTTCTCAACAGTGGTCAGAAGAGGTGGGGGGCGAAGCAGAAACCCCTCGTTCCTGAACTCAGCTCTGGGGAAGTGGTCCAGCTGCACTTTCTGAAAGTGCTGGGCCTGCTTTTTACAGAATCGTCTCTGTGGTCTTTGCCTCCCCTGGATGTTTAAGGGTCATTGCCTCCAGCAGAGCTTATGTTTGCATTTTTCATGTACAAGTCGGGCTCAGATGTGGTGGTTGCCACACTCGGCCGGGTGTCTCTTCCTTTGCATAGACCTGCCATGGCCCCTCAGCCCTCGCCTCTGTGAGGTCTGAGGACCCATCTCAGAGGCCCTCCCCCAGGAGGACCCCTCTGTGAGCTGTCTCATCTCCGTGGCCCCAGGGTCCTGCGCCTCCCAATGGCAGGGCTGGGGTCGTGGCCTACTGGTATTTTCCCAAAGCCCTCCAGCTGGGAGACCCTGGGCTTTGCAACAAGGGCAGGCTGGCCGGGAAACCAGTGCCATCAACTGTCCCCGGGTCTGTGGTCCTCTGACTCTCCCAGTGCAGACGATGGATTTGGGGAGCAGCAGGCGGTTATCATGCTGGCTTTGCTTACACTTGAACTTGCGCAGTGACCAAGCATTCCCGGTGTGCATGTGTACGTGCAGACGTGTTAGAACTCGGCTGCCAGTGTAGACAGTAGGGCCCCCTCTGCTGCTGGTGTCTGACGGGCTCCTGGGCTCCTCTGCACGTGACGAAGCAATGCTCCTGCTGAGGCTTCGGCCCCCGACCTAACCCATCCCCCCGCCCACCCCCCACGCCCCGCCTGTGTCCAGCCTGCTCTCTATCTTGTAGGCACTCGGATCTTTATTTGGATATTAATACAAACCAATCTTGGCTAATGCTAACCATCTGATTTCGTTTTTGTTTTTTTTTTTCCATTTTGTTTTGTTTTGTTTCTGCGCACATTTTCTTTAGCTTGAAATGGCGATTGAAAACCTCCAAAAAAGCGAAGGGATCACATCACACAAAAGCGGTTTACTCAACAGTCATGTAAGTGTGTGTCAACCTGCTGGTCTGCCCTGCTCTGCTTGTCACCTTCGTAGGCATTTTAAAAACGAACAGGGAGTTCCCCGGTGGCCCAACGGTTAGGATTCCAGGCTTTCACTGCCATGACCCTGGTTCAGTCCCTGGTTCAGGGAACGGAGATCCTGCAAGCCGCGCGGTACGGCCGAAAAAAAAAAAAGCAGTGAGTTGACACCTTTAAAGTGCCGAAAAGGTGCAGAGGGGGGAACCCATCTAGACTTCTACACTCAGCAAAAACGTCCTTCCACAGCGAAGGGAGCTTAAGGCAGGCTCTTCCTTTGTGAAAGTGGGGTGACAGCACCTCCCTCCTTGGGGGGAAACAGGGATTAAACTGCTTAGTGTATGTAACGTCCTCCCCACCACGCCTGGCAGAGGATAAGCACTGTAAATAAATTCGTACTCAGACAAGCCACAACCAAGAAATGACACCGGATTGGGGGTGCCATAAACGTTCTTAGCTAATTTTCCTGTGATCAGCTTTTTGAAAATAAAAAAAAATTGGTAATTTGACAAAAGGGCAAAGCAACTAATTCCTATTGATTTTAGCTGCATAAGACCTTTCTCTGATGGGGACACCACATGATCGTAGGCCCCAAGGCCAGGAGGGCGCAAAGGTCTTTGCCTCTGGGTGGCTTTGAGTGGCAGGACGGGGCTGGCAGAGATGACAGTGCAGGGACTCGGCTTCTGGGGACAGTTGAGGAGGGAAAGCTCCTGTCGCCCCCCCCACTCCTCCCTTTTCCCCTTACTTCTCCAAACGCCCTCAATTCGGCTTTAACTTGACTGGACCTTTGTTCGGCAGTTTGGAGGTAGGACAGCCCGCAGGAGTTCAGAGCGCACTTCGGGCAGCTTTTCTCAAGCACTTGGGTTGGGATTGGCATCCTTTTGAGAATTAAAACATCAAAGAAAAGTCCCCTTTAGTTGTACCCGATCCCAGCTGTGACCCCAGCAAGACTTTCATACTGGCCGACATTCAAAGTGAGTGATTTGGGGTGCGGGGCCAGAAAGCCCACTAGGGAAAGATCCAGGAGGTTCTGGGTTTGTCGGGGGGCACAGGCGTGGCCAGCACCTCCAGCCCATTGGCTGAGCCTCAGAGGGCTGGTCACTGGAGGAAGAGCAGCCTCATCCCGGTCGTCTCGAAGGAAAAACAAAAGTCCGTCAGGCCCCAGGCTAGGTGGGTCGTGGCCACCCTGTTGTCCATCACTGCCGGATGATGTCACCTGGTGGGAAGGTCTGGAGAAGGGAAGCTGCAGCCTTAGAGCGGAGCGTGTAGAAAGTCCGCAAGACGGCATCCTCTGCTCGGGGACCAGAGTTCTTCAGATCTCGAGCAGACAACGTGGCCACGGCACAGCCTGCGAGGCCAGGCGCTAGGGCAGCCCCAGAGAGCCATGAGGAAGGCAGGATGGGTGCGGACCCCAGGCCGGCGGCGGCGTATCCGCGGGAAGTTTAAAATGTCTATGTGAAACGCGTGAGCCTCAGTCTCTGGCTGCAGGGATGCCTCTGGCTTTCTAACACTTTTCCTCCGGAAGGCAGGCTTGCCTTGGTTGCTCCTCCAAAACCAGTTTCCGTTCCTGAGTTTAGTTTCTGAGCAGGAAGATCCTCCCTGTGTCCGTTTCTTTCTGGCGATTTGTGGTTGGGTCGTTTTCTTCCACCGGGAGCCGTAAGAAGTAGGATCTGAGGCTTGGCGACTCAAAGAGGACAGAAAGAAGGTCTCGGTAAAGAGTCGACCCCACGCGCTGCAGTCAGCCGGCCAGGAGCTTGTCTGGGCAGGGAGGGCGGGGAGAGAGCTAGGGTGTGTCCTGGCGACAGACGGCCATGTGTCCTGCAGAGCCCTTCGTGGTCCTAGTTCGCCGCACTCACCTGAGACAGTTGTCCCTGGGCACCACCGGCTGCAGTCCCCGCGCCCGGGCAGGAGAGCCTGGTGCCGGGTGGCGAGATGCCCAGAGCCCAGGAAGGCTGGGCTGTGCCTTCCAGACCCAACCCGACATCAGGGTCACCCCAGCTCCCCAGGCTGCCCTCGGGACTCGGACCAGGGGGTCTGAGGGTTGAAGGGACCTTCCAGCCTTGGTGTGGGAGCCCCTGAGGGAAGAGGTGGGCCTCGAGCCATCTTTAAAACAGGGGAACGCATGATTTGGTGGCAGGAAACGAGGGATGACTGTTTTGGAGGACGGAGGCAGAGAAAGTTGAGCTGGGAATGGAGATGCCGTCCCTCACCAGGGTGTCACTGTGGCCTGTGGGTGCAGCCACGCCAGCCAGGCCTGCCCCTCTGCTGTCCCCGGGTCTATCGGGAGAGGCCCCCAACCCCTGCTGACTCAGGGACCCCCATCGTGGGTCCCTGCAGAGGTGGCCGATGCTTACTGTACATAAACGACTATTTCCAGCCCCTGGGAGAAGGACCCGCTTTTAGGTGGATCGTATTCAGATTTTATGACCTTTTTTTTTAAATCAAGAAACATAAATTGTCAAAGATGATTTAGCCTCCAGGTGGTGGTGTAGTGACAGAGCCGTGCCCTGCAGTCTGGGCTGGCGATGGGCTGTGGCAGCTTCATGGGCTGGGTGCTCTGCCTAGAAGTTGCTCCAGATTATGGCGGCGAAGGCCTCCGGCACTGGTCGCAGTTGGGCTGCTGTTTTTTGGAGTTTCCCCGGCCCCCTCACCACCTCGACGACCCCGCCTGGTCTCCTGGAGGGAAAGGCTCTTTCCCAGTGGGCGTCGAGGCTGGGCCTCTCCCGTCAGCTCCACCCTTGAGCCTCCAAGGGCGCCTGCCCGCCTGGAGGCGCAGCTGCGCACGTGTGTCGCGGGCCGAGGCCTGACCGCCCCCCGCCCCCACCCCACAGCAGACCCTGCACCTCCCGCCACCTTCCTGGCTCATCCAGGGCAGCGCCGTCCTGCTGGAGGCTCATCCTTGTGCCCCCTCCTCCGCCCCGCCCACAGCCCGCATCCGATGCCCCTTGGCCTTCAGAACCATCCGGAATCAGACCACTTCTCCCCCCCCACCCACCATGGCCACAGCCTCCCTACCGTCACACCCGGTCAGTCTGCCGCGGGCGAGGCGGGGCTGTGTGGTGGGGAGATGGGCCTCCCGTTCACCTAGTGTCACTGACGTGCGATGCTCGGCCGGTCGGGATGACACCAGGTAGCGGCGTCCAGGAGTGCGGTGCGCAGACCCCACCGGCGCTCGCTCAGCCTACAGGGGAGGCTCTGCCTTCGCGGAGCCCGTAGACCGCCCTCCAGCGCCCGTCAGCCTCCCTTCCGGGTCACCTCTCGTCGCCGGAGAGGGTGGAAGTGAACCCATTATTGCTTCGGAGGCTGCTGGTGGCATCTGTTCGCTCTGTGCTTACCTCTACTCAGGAGGGAGTTAACCACACATCCTTGGTATCGGTGTCCACGTAGTCACCCGCAACGAAGTCTGCTTTCCGTGTAATTCTTGGGATTTGGCCTAGGTGGTCAGGAGCAGAAGCCATCATCTTATTTCCCAAACCTTCCTTCTCACGTTGGGCCAGTCGTGTCAGGTGCCGGGCGGGGTCTCAGCCTCCATCTCTCAGGACCTGGTCCGGGGCGCCTCCCAGGCCTCCACCTCGCGGCCTGAGGATCCTCCTGAGGACCCCCGCGGGCGCTCAGACCCTGAGACATTTGGGCCCCTGGTCCTGGCTTCTCCCTCCCACAGAGGACTCCCCTAGAAGCGGCCTATGCTCCCCAGCCAGGGTGGCAGAGACAGGAAGAGCCTCCTGCTTGCACATCCAGAGGCTGTCGGCTTTCCTCATGCTGGGGTTCCCCTCCGCTCTGCGGGACCGCTCCTCCTCTCCATCAGCGTTTCTTGAGGCATCTTCACGGGGTGCAAACGTGGGCAGAGCCGGTTCTGTCTCTGCTTCCTGGAGCTCCCGTTTCAGCAGGGAGACAAGCGATAGAAAATGAATGCTTGTGTCGGCGAGCAGTGCTCTGGAAAACCTTGGGGCTCAGGGGCCAGCAAATACCAGCCCTTCCTCACCTGTATCCTGGATCCTGAGCCAATTGCAACTAGACAGCGGGGCAACAGACAGAACCCAGTTCCCCCCTGTGGCTGGTGAGGCTGCTGTGGGAAGGCTCGTAGCTGGTGGGACAACCCCCCCCCCCCGCCGCTGTGAGCGCAAAGCAGGCCGGGGGCGTACCCGCAAGAAAGGAGCAGCTCCACTGTGCCACCCATGCCCTCCTTCCCAACTCCCGGTGACGTCAGTCCCTTAGCCCCAGAGTCAAGGCAGCGGGGAGCGGGGTGTGTGCAGGGGGGCCTCAGGGGTGGGGAGGAGGGTGCCTCCTGGGGCAGGCCGTGCGCAGTGATTAAACCTCTTAAGTTCACAGTTTGTTCATAGTATCAAAGACACAAGGAGGGGTCAGAACAAGGGGCGCCAAGGAGATGGCCCCTAAGGGTGGGAGCCGTGGGCCGGAGCAAAGCCTTGGAGAGAGAAGGGGGGGTGCTCTGCCACCTTTGTGTAGAAAAAGCACATTTAAGGAAAGTTTGAAAATTATATATCTAGGTGACTTGATGGAAAGTAGAAACCGTGATGTTCTTTCCCAAAGGGGGAACTGAAGAACCCTTTCCTGTTTCCCTCAGCCTCTGGCTGCTGCCTCCTCCTCCCCGCATCCCCGTGGTAACTGCCCCCTCTTCACCCACTGGTGGGGGTGGGATCCCCCTGCGGGGTCACGGGCGCAGCCAGCACATGACATCCCACAGCACACGGACAGATGAGTGGACAGCTGTTCCCGTGCACCCAGGGCTGCAGGAGGCAGGCTTCGTGGTGACAGGAGGGCCGGCGACCCCTGGTTCAAACCTGCTACTCGGATCGGCAGCTGGGCTGGTCCCTTAGTGGGGAGGTGGTGTGGCAGATACCTCATCTGCAGGGCACCTGGGGAGGGCCCGCTGCAGGCTCTCCCCGGGGCAGCACCTAACCCCAGGCCTCGATGCTACGCCTCACACACCCCTCCTCGGCCCCACCCGCACAGACCCGCTCTGGGCTCCTTGGTGTCACATTAAAACATCTGGTCCCGACCTCCACCCTGAATGCCAGCCCAGCACTCCTCCCCCACCTCCCAAGAGCAGAACCCATTACCCCAGCCCTTCTGGAGGCCAGAGGTCTGTCTTTCCGTTAGAGCAGGGGTCACCGGTCCACGGCCTGTTAAGAACGGGGTGCACGGCCGGAAGTGAGCGGCAGGGGAGCGAGTGAAGCTCCCCACCATCCCGCCTGAACCCTCCCCCCCTCCCCCCCACGATCTATGGAAGAACTGTCTTCCGAAATCGGCCCCTGGTGCCAAAAAGGTTGGGGAGCCCTGTGTTATAGGACCCTCTGCTCTGTCAGCCCCCCAGGGCCCCTTCACCTGGACCTTTGACTTTTTCCCCACCTTCATCCTGCACATCCAGCCCAGGCCCACCCCCTGCCTCTGAAACTCTCCTTATTCTAGCATCCCTGCCACCAGCTGACCCCACCACCCGCCTCTCACTCGGGTCCATGTTAGAGCGGGGAGGCCCCATGGAGGAAACGAAGGCACATCAGGTTCACTTTAAAATGGCGGGAGGGGGCCTCCCTGGCGGTCCAGTGGTTAAGGCTCCGCACTGCTGCTGCAGGAGACATGGGTTTGATCCCTGGTCGGGGAAGTTCTGTATGCTGCGAGGCGTGGCCCCAAACGAACAAACAAACAAAAACATTGTAAAGCAACTATACTCCACTAAAAATGAGTTTAAACTAAGATAAAGTGGCAGAGGCAGTGTGTGGGGCTTAGAGGAAGTAAAATGGGCCCTGAGGTGGTGATTGTTGAAGCAGGCGTTCAGGAGTCTGTTCTCTCTACCTCTTTGCATGTTAAAACCATTCTGAAACGTGTCTAAAAGGGCGACACGAGCAGACTTTGCAGCCTGTGGGCTTATAAGTCTGGGCGGGGCCACGACCTGGCTTGCAGGGCCGAGCACCAGAGGGGGCTGGGGGTAAGGGGGTGGGGCGGCGATCTCCCAGGGAGAAGGACAGAGGGTGTGGGAGCACAGAGGACAGGGGCCCCGGCAGCAGGGAGCCCCATCCCGATCCTGATGCGGGATCCTGCCTCTGGCCTCGTTCCCGGGCTCACTCTTCCAAATCCAGACCTCCCTCCGTTGGGGACCAGTCTCGAAGCCAGGATCAAACCGCAGCCTTTGGGGCGCTCTGCAGTGGGTGCAAAGTGGGCGGGGGGGTTCAGCCTCCCTCGGTGTGGGAACTGAGCTGTGTGGACAGTTCTGAGTCAGTGCTGACCTCTGGGTGCCTCGACTTCGGCCTTGGATCCTTTTCCCTGCCGTTGGCCTGAGCACAAAACCTGGCACACGAACCTTTCAGTCTTTTATTCAGTTTCCCGTTTGTTTTCCTCTTGGTCCTGAGTACAGGGACTGCGGTGGTATTACCTTAACGGGGCGCCGTGCGGATGGGCCATGGGGTTTTCCTTCCTCTTCCTTTCCTGTGTGCTCAGATCAGCTCCATCCCCGTAGGTTTAGGAAGCATTTGGTGTGCGAGGCCTATGGGGGTTTCAGTCTCCATCACGGGCAGGTTTTTATAAATTAAGTCAAGGAACCTGAAAGCTTGGCTAGAAATCGAAGGCATAAATAAGCAAGTGAAAAGAAGCTATTAAGTAATGAACGTGCCCCAAATTGAACCTGAATCGGTGACAGTAGAGGTGAGTTTCCCCGTCGTGTCGGAGGACGGAAGGCGTGTGTTGCTGTCGGTGCGTCCACGTCAGCATCCGGCCTGTCTTGTCCATCCAGCTCCAGTGGCTCTTGGATAATTACGAAACCGCGGAAGGCGTGAGTCTCCCCAGAAGTTCGCTCTACAACCACTACCTTCGCCACTGCCAGGAACACAAGCTGGACCCCGTGAACGCGGCCTCCTTTGGGAAGCTGATCCGCTCCGTGTTCATGGGCTTGAGGACGCGGCGGCTGGGTACCAGGTGGGTCGGTGAGGGTGTCTGGCAGCCCTTGCACCTGCCCCCCACCCTCCTCTTCCCTTATACAGACATCGAGCTTCGGGAGAACGTGAGGCTCCCCCTCCTGGCACGTCCTGACGTCCGCGGCTCCGGGTGCACCTGGAGTTGCCCTGAATTGGTGGTAGCCTGGGCCCGGCCTGGCCACCCGTGGGCTGTGATCGCTTCTCTTCTGGTGACGGGACACGGGCTTCACCTCCGCTCTCTCCCTTCGCTTCACCTCTGCTCTCTCCCTTCGTTTGAAGTTTTCCATAGCAGGCTTTTTATTTTATTTATTTATTTATTGTTTAACATCTTTATTGGAGTATAATTGCTTTTCAATGGTGTGTTAGTTTCTGCTTTATAACAAAGTGAATCAGTTATACATATACATATATCCCCATATCTCCTCCCTCTTGCATCTCCCTCCCTCCCACCCTCCCTATCCCACCCCTCTAGGTGGTCACAAACCACCGAGCTGATCTCCCTGTGCTATGCGGCTGCTTCCCACTAGCTATCTATTTTACGTTTGGTAGTGTGTATATGTCCATGCCACTCTCTCACTTCGTCCCAGCTTACCCTTCCCCCTCCCCGTGTCCTCAAGTCCATTCTCTACGTCTGCATCTTTATTCCTGTCCTGCCCCTAGGTTCTTCATGACCTTTTTTTTTAGATTCCATATATATGTATCAGCATACGGTATTTGTTTTTCTGTTTCTGACTTACTTCACTTTGTATGGCAGCCTCTAGGTCCATCCACCTCACTACAAATAGTTCAGTTTCGTTTCTTTTTATGGTTGAGTGATATTCCATTGTATATATGTGCCACATCTTCTTTATCCATTCATCTGTTGATGGACACTTAGGTTGCTTCCGTGTCGTGGCCATAGCAGGCTTTTTAAATAGCAGCCTCTGGATTGTCTAGTCGAGTTGGATTTACCATGTCTTGATGCTTTTTGCTGTGCCTGGACCGATCCACTGTGGGCTGCTCTTGGCAGACAGCGGCCGGGGACCCTCACGGGCGGGAATCTTTCTCCCTCCACCCCCGACCCCGGCAGTAGCGTTTGGCTCCTCCCACTAGGAAAAGACGGCCTCGCTCTGTTCAAAGCGGGGAGCTTGGCCCACACGTGAGATCATCTTGCATGGCTTTGACCTGTGGCCAGCCGGGTTCGCCACGTGCCCTGGGTGAAGGTGCACACACGTGGGTCTCGGCGTTCACTCCCTCCCTCCCAGAAGCGGGCATGCTGGGTGTCTTAAAGGACGGGGCCAGGAGAGTTCTCTCCCACCTTGGGATCCCTGATGGAGGACATCCTTACAAAACATGGGCAGCCAGAGCGGGGCAGGGAGGAGGAGTCCATGACCTCTGGGGACACGGCCACCGCTGCCCTGGGGCCTTTCCAGATGGCTCCTGGGGCCTCCACCTTCAGAGGGTCCCAGATGCTGGCCTCAGAATTGGGGCTCATCCTCCCCGCTTTCTCCCTCCGAGCACCAGTTCAGCTCGCGCCTCACCTGGGAAGGACCCAGGCTCCCCGGCTTGTCCGTGTTGCCAGCTCAGGGAAAATGGCGGCCCGTGAGCTGGGGGTGTTTGCAAGGCCGCGTGTCTGTCCTTCCCTCCAGAGGAGACCCTTCTGACCTGTTTCCTTAAAGAAATTACTTAAAACCCTTTGAGCATCATTTCTCCCATAATAAAATAAGGTAGTGTTTCCCAAACTGTACCATTTCTAAAACGTGTTATTAGATGATTGGAAGGGGGGAGAGTTAATAATAGTAATTATTATTTATTATAATAATAAGTATTATTATTTATTATAATAATAAGTAGTATTATTGCTATTATTATTATTATTATTATTAGACCATACTGGGTTAAACAAAGTTGAACTGGCTTTTTTACTGCAGGACTTCTCAGAGCCTTCATCATACTAAAAAACAAGAGGGGAGCCTCCCAGAGGGGGAAGTCGTTACAGAATTTCCTGAACCTCTCTGACCACGGGACAGCCCATGAACGTTCCCCACACGGTCCGGGGAACACTGGCCCCGAGAGCCCAGGGAGAAGGGCGGGGAAAGAGCCCTGTCTTGCGGTTCAGGACATCTGCAAAGAGAGCTGACCCCAGGTGTTTGGTTCCTAGGGGCAACTCCAAATATCACTACTACGGGATCCGTCTGAAGCCAGACTCGCCCCTGAGCCGGCTGCAGGAGGACACGCGGTACACGGCCATGCGGCAGCAACCTGTACATCAGAAGCCCAGGTGGGTGAGCTGCCGGCCGGCCTAAGGATCAGCCAGCCCGCTGGGAGGTTTCCCTAGCGGCGACGGAGGGAGAGGGGTTTCTCGACCACCGACCGCAACCTGGAAATGGACGCAACATGCGTGGAGTGCAGAAAACCAGTTCGCACCCGCCCCCATCTCGGTGTCCTGGGAGAGCCCTGCCTTTCACTGGCACCTGGCGTGGAGTGAGGCCAGCAGGACGCGGGCAGTTTCAGGGTCACAACAGAAGTGAGTGGAAGGTGCGGAGATTTCCCACGTGCCCCCCCACGCACCCCGGCCTCCGGTGTTGTGCCTCCGTTACAGTTGATGAACCCACATCGACCCGTTCTTGTCACCCGAAGTCCGTAGCCGACGCTGGGGCCCACTGTCGGTGTGGCGCGCTCTGTAGCTCTGGACAGAGGTGCAATGACCTGTGTCCACTGTTAGGGGGCGGTACAGAGTAGTTTCACTGCCCTAAAAACGCTCCCTGCCCCTCCTGTTGGCCCCTCCCCGCCAGCCTCCGGCAAGCGCTGACCTTCTAGTACTGGCTCCGTAGTTTTTGCCGTTTCCTGAAAGCCATAGAGTTAGAATCACAGATCTTTGATTTTCCCTCTCTGTCTTCAAAGAAAGAGAGAGAACACCGAACATAACCCCAGAAGCCAGGAGAAAGAAGCTTATACACTTAAGTTGCTGCTTCCTCCTGACCTTCGGATCTGATGGCTGGAAAGGCCGAGTCATCTTCTGGAATGTTCTCTGCCTCACAGAGCTACTCATCTTTTAAGGCAGGGGTCAGCACACTTCTTCTGTAAAGGGCCAGAGAGCACATATCTTCAGCTTCGCAGGCAGACACTCTCTGTGGAGACCTTTCAGCTCTGCCCGTGTAGCGTGAAAGCCTCCACAGACCAGGTTAAAGCAACGGGTGTGGCCGTGTGGCCATCAAACTTTATTTTCAAAACAGGGGGCAGAAATGGTGCTCTGCAGCCCTAGTTGGAGACGCCCCGTTCAGGGCCCCACTCAAATACCGGCTCCCTGGCCCCTTCCACTCACCCCTCTGCCCGCCTCTGTCCCAGGCCCCTCTCCAGGGTCCATTCTGCTCCAGGGCAGGAATGCACCCCACTCTGTTCCACGTGGCACCTTCGTGCCTCAGCTGAGCTGCGTGGCTGACACCCCATTTTAGCTGCTCTAAGGGGTCCCAGTGACTCCCAACCACATGGCCGATCACGGGAGTTGGAGGTCCCAGGAGAGAGCCTGGAACATTCCCTGGGACCAGGAGTCCATCCTGTACCTGATCGTCCACAGACAAGGACTGCGTAGCTTCCGTTGTGGGGTTCGGGCCACAGGCTTGTGCCATTGACACTTAGAGCCACCCACCCCCACAAAGTCAGGTGGTCCACATACCTCTGAGCGGCGTCCTCCCTCCTCCCAGTGAGCCTGGCCCTACATCCCACAAGGAAAGGCACTCCCAGCTCAGGCTGGGTCCCTCGCACCCATCCCACCTGGCATGCGCATCCCTCAGGGCTCAAGCAAGTCATCCCAGGAAGCCCTTCTCGGTTACGTTTCTCAGTTTGCTGCCTGGACAGGCTGTCCACTGCTTTCTAGCTCAGGGCAAAACAAAAGTCTCAGAATGTGCTTTGAGATCACATAATAGTAACACGTTTGGGACTCTATGTAAAGAAGTTCACTTGTCTTCTAAGAGAGAAGTGTTAGAATATATACATGTAATATAGCAACCCGGGTGTCCATCAGCAGGTGAGTGGATAAACAAATGTGGTCCATCCATACAGTGGAGTGGTATTGAGCCTTCAAAAGGAAGGAGATTCTGACACACACTACAACATGGATGAACCCAGAGGACGTGATGCTCAGTGAAATAAGCCGGACACAAAAGGACAAATACTGTCTGATTCCACTTATGTGAGGTCCCTAGAGGAGTCACATCCGTAGAGACAGGAAGTAGATGGTGGGGGCCAGGGGCTGGGGGAGGGGAAGGGGGGGGTCCGTGTTTCATGGGGACAGAGTTTCAGTTTGGGAAGATGAGAAGGTTCTGGAGATGATCGTGGGGATGGTTGCCCGACAATGTGAATGTATTTAATGCCACTGAGCTGTGCACTTAAAAGTACCATTTTAATGGTAAATTTTGTGTTTTCTATTTGACCACTAGTTTTAGAAAATTACACACACACCCCAAACCAAATCCTGCTCCGTCCTCCACCCCTTGGGCCCCTTCTGGGCAGTGCTGTTAGGGCCTCACGGTGGCACACGTGTTCCCTGCCCAGGTACCGGCCAGCCCAGAAGACGGACAGCCTTGGGGAGAGCGGCTCGCATGGCAGCCTGCACAGCACACCTGAGCAGGCCATGGCTGCCCAGAGCCAACACCACCAGCAGTACATCGGTGAGCCCCCCACCCCGGCGCAGGGCCTGCTGGCAAGGCTCTGGGGCCACTCGACACCGCTGGGGCTGGGTTTCGGCACCAGCAGCATCTACAGGGATACTTTAGACAGTTTTCTTGTATATCACCTTTTCAATTACATAGAAAGTTCTAGATAAACCCTCTTTGTGGAATCCCCGAGACTTTAGAATAATCAGCATGTTCCTCCCAAATTAGTGGATATTAATCCAAAAATAATGGATTAAAGTGACCATCATAAAAATAAGTAAATAAGGGGACTTCCCTGGCGGTCCAGCGGTTAGGACTCCGCGCTTCCGCGGCAGGAGGTGCGGGTTCGATCCCTGATCGGGGAACTAAGGTCCCACAAGCCGCGTGGCTCGGCCCAAAAATTAAAATATAAAATGTACTAAACTGAAAGAAAATAAGTAAAATGAAATGCCCATCGGAAAGAAGACTGGATGTACTTTCAGCTGAGCCGGGCCCCTCCCTGGGAGAGTCCCTCCCCAGCTGGCACCGTCCCTGCCCCGGAGTGACGGGATACGCTAAAGACGTGGGTGGCCTCCGTGTACTTTAGTGTATCTTTGAGCCCCGACTGAACCCTCCCCTGTTGGGTCTTCTGGAGACGCTGTCACCCACCTGGGCGCCCCCAACGCTGGGGGGATGGAGTGCACGATGTGTGCTAGGCCCAGGCCCTGTGCTTTGTGCGTCACCGGGAGCTGACGATGTTGTCTCCTCCCTGCACCTGAGAAAACCGAAGCTTAAGGGTTGTGTGGTGTGAGAGGAGCCAGGGCCGGCATGGGGTCACCAACACGTACGGCCGGTGTCCCCAGCCCTGCTGACCTGCTCCCGCGTTCCCCCACCCCCCCCCACCCCGCCACAGATGTGTCCCACGTCTTCCCGGAGTTCCCGGCGCCCGACCTGGGTGGTGTCCTGCTGCAGGAGAATATCACGCTGCACGACATCAAGGCCCTTCAGCTGGCCTACCGGCGGCACTGCGAGGTGACTGCCCCCTGAACCCCGAGCCCAGGCCCTGGGGGCTCCGGTGGGCGCCTCGGTCAGCTGCGCGAGGCCAGTGCCAGAGCATCACTGGGTGTCCCCGCCGGTGACCAGGAGCAGACAGGACTGGCCCCCCCCTCCCTCTGGCCAAGGGGTGGATGGAATCTTCCTTCGTTCACTCCCATCCCCTCTCGTGGTCTGTCTGGGTTTGGAAAGACCCCGCTGCAGCCCGTGTCCCGGCCGCTTGCTTGGCACGTTCTGATGGCAGTCACATGGTGTGAGTACAGCGGAGTGCTTATCCAGCCGTGTTTATTCCTAGGCCACTTTAGATGTCGTGATGAACCTCCAGTTCCACTACGTTGAGAAGCTGTGGCTTTCCTTCTGGAATTCTAAAGCCTCCTCCAGCGACGGCCCTGCCTCTCTACCTACCAGGTACTGCCCGTCAGCCCCCAGACAGGCCTCAGTTTCACGGGGCCTGGGTTTGCCCTGCAGACCGTCTCCTGCTGACACCCACAAATGCACCAGCTTTTCAAGAATCAGCGCTCAGACCCCCTCACGCACGTGTGGTCTTTCCTCTGACTTGGTGTGCGACTCGTATGGCATTTCCCTTTGTTCGGCGAGGATCTCAGGGGTGACCACGGGGCAGGGAGCTTGCCTGCCCCAGGTGGTCCTGCAGCCTCACTCGGCTTATCCCGCGAGAGCAGGCCCCGGGCTGACGGCTCACCTGTGTCCCCCGTGACCCCGTCCCCCGCAGCGACGAGGAGCCGGAGGGCGCCGTCCTCCCCAAGGACAAGCTGGTATCTTTGTGCAAGTGCGACCCCGTGCTCAGGTGGATGAGGACCTGCGACCACATCCTGTACCAGGCGCTGGTGGAGATCCTCATCCCAGACGTGCTGCGGCCCGTGCCCAGTAAGCGCCCCTCCCCACACCCCTGCCCGCGACCTCCCCAGAGGAGACTCCCAGAGTGGAGGCCAACCGAGGTCGCGGGACAGCCTCGGGGGGCGGGGGCTGAGTCGGGTTCTAACCCGTTTCCCCAGCTGATCTGACGCTGAGCTCGGCTTCCTCCCAGCACTGTGAGTCTGCAGCATGAAGGGGTGGATTCTTCAGACCTTCTCCAGATTCCAGCGGCCTTGACTGAGGAAGGGAGAGAAAAGGAGATGGTGGCCCTTGATGGCTACACCCGTCTGGGGCTGATGCGGGCCGTGGGGACCCTCCCAGGGCCTCTGCCCCCACCCGCCCTTGTGGCCTCCGGAGGTGGTGACAACACCCGCCACCAGGGGGCGCCCGCCTGCAGGCCCCCTACATAGGGGCTGTCCCTCGGGCCCCCAGGACGCGAGTCCCGACCTCGTGAGGGCGAGGAGGCCGGGCGCTGAGCCTCGCTCTTCCCGAACGGCTGCCTGTTAACATCCGTGCCTGTTAGCGCTGGGGAACCTCCATCTTTTTGATGACCCGGTCTGCTGCTTTTTTTTTGCCAGAAAATGGGAAACAGCAAAACCGTTGCAGTTCTCCTTTGGCCTTGCCAGCCTGGAAACTGTTCAGTGTAGTGTGCTTTTAGAGTCTCTGTGTATTAAGGTTTGAGATTGGGGTATACTTCCTTTTATAACACTAGGGGTGGTTTTCTTTTTTCAAAAAAATGTATTGCTTATTGCAAGCCATCTCAAAATAAATTTGGAAGTTGGTAGAATATGTTTACATGCACGTGTGTATATCAGGGTCTCCCCCCTCCACTCAGCCCAATGACATCGGGGTGGGTCCGTCCCCGGGGGGCGATCCTGGGCACTGTGGCCCCATCCCCTCTATGCCAGAAGCCGCCCCAGTGTGACAACCATGATGTCCCCAAACATGGCCCAGTGTCCCCCGGGGTCAGGATCACCCCAGGTGAGAACTGCCAGCATAGACAGGTAGATGAGCAGAGATCAATGGCGCTGGCCCCAGTTCCTACTCAGCACCTCCGTCACTAAGTGCGCTAAATTCTCACCATCTCTTCTCCTCTGTGTTGCTTGTTCTCGGTGGGTGGTCATTTCCACGGCATGTGCACCTCTTACACGTGAGCTGATTCTGACGGGCGTCAAGACTGCCTTTCTCACCGTTATTACTTGTGTCCCCCAGGTACCCTGACCCAGGCCATCCGCAATTTTGCCAAGAGCTTGGAAGGCTGGTTGACGAACGCCATGAGCGACTTCCCACAGCAGGTCATCCAGACCAAGGTAACAGTCGGGGTTGGGGTCTGGGCCTCCAGACCACGCTGCGGGGTGGTGGTGGGGGAGGGCAGAGGCTACAGCCTGGGGCCCCCTCGGGCCCCGCTGTGCTGTGAAGGGAGGGGGCTCCTGTTCCTCTGCCCCCAGGGAACTGGAGGACCGCTGGGCCCCAGAGAAAGGGGGCTGCTGCTGTGTGTCCTGAGGGTAAGTGGTCCTTCCAGGAAGGCCCAGGGCTGGGCTGCTGCTGGTGGAGGACAGGTGCTGGCTGGGAGCGCCCGACAGAAGATGTCTTTGCTGTGATACTTTTGGGTGGATTCAGAGCAGATCGAGTGTTGCTCTGCTCGTCATAGGAGGGGGATTTAACCTCTTTGTGGTCACCCTCACTGCTAGCGTCTCAGCCACAGATCAGAATGTAAAACATGGCCATCAGGCCTACCTGTGGAAAAGAGGCGATCCCATTCCCTTCCCGAGAGCGTTCTTACGGCCTCAGACAGGCGGGGCCAGATCTGGGCATCCCGCCTGCCTGCTCCCCACAAGCTGGAATCGCCTGGGTAGCTGTTCAAAAGTGCAGATTTCCAGGCCACACCTCGCAACGTCTGATCCAGTGGTGCCTGGGAATCGGTATTTTTACTGTCCCTCCCAGAGAGCCAGAGGAATCCTAGAAGCCAGGGCCTGGCCACGCGGTGCTGAATTCTAACTCACCTGTGCTGTGGCGTCCGCTGTAGGTGCCACTCCATGCGTTGGTGACGCCCGTGTCCCTCACTGATTCTCAATTTGGGGGTCTCTGAGGCTGTCCGGAGGACGGGTCCCTCTGCCCTGCCAGAACAGCTCTCTCCTGGTCCCTCCGCCGCCACGCCCCTGAGAAGAGAGACAAACAGGCTTAGCCTCACACCTTCCCGGGCCCCAGGTCGGCGTGGTCGGCGCCTTCGCACAGACCCTGCGGCGCTACACGTCGCTCAACCACCTGGCGCAGGCGGCTCGGGCAGTGCTGCAGAACACGGCGCAGATCAGCCAGATGCTGAGCGACCTCAACCGCGTGGACTTCGCCAACGTGCAGGTGACTGTCCTGCGCGCCTCCCCGCGGCCTGGGACCGGGGCGCGCGGACCCAGCTTCCACCCGCTAGAAAAATGCGCAGACCCACCAAACTCAGCCTACCGCAAAACCAGCCCCGCACCCGGGCCCGGCCCATGCTTCTGATGCATGAAAAGGGTCGGGGTTGAGTCACCCACAGTCCTCGGGGACACCCGGGCTCCACTGCGTGATCGTCCCCCTGGCCTCCAGGCTGTGGGATGACGCCTTGGCCCATTTTCATTAAAAATTTGCCTTCTGGGGCTTCCCTGGTGGCGCAGTGGTTGAGAGTGCGTCTGCCGATGCGGGGGACACGGGTTCGTGCCCTGGTCCGGGAAGATCCCACATGCCGCGGAGCGGCTGGGCCCGTGAGCCATGGCCGCTGAGCCTGCGCGTCCGGAGCCGTGCTCCGCAGCGGGAGGGGCCACGACAGTGAGAGGCCCGCGTACCGCAAGCAAAAAAAAAAAAAAAAATTTGCCTTCCCACTGCCATGTTCACGGCTCTCTCCTCTGGGCTTAGGAAAGCGCAGCCGCCATCAGGGGAGTCCTGCCGCTGTGTTTACGTCTAGTGTAGGCCCTGAGTTTATCCACCAAATAAACAGAAACACGCACACAGAGGAGTGGCCACTTAGAAATAACGCAACGCGAAGACGTGGTACAGCCTGGGCCTAGGATGCAGGGAGCCTGGATTTAGGCCCTTGGAAGCCGGGCAGGTTCCCTCTGGATGGCCATCCGTCTCTGCCCCATGAAGCGGGTGCCGAGCTCACAGCTGGAAAAGGTCGAGAGCAGCAGGTGTCTGTGCTTGTGTGTGTCCGGCCTAGGGCCACGCCCGGGAGATGTCGCTGTCCCTCCGTCCTGACCCGGCCCTCGCCTGCCCGCGCCCTACAGGAGCAGGCCTCGTGGGTGTGCCAGTGCGAGGAGGGCGTGGTGCAGCGTCTGGAGCAGGACTTCAAGCTGACCCTGCAGCAGCAGAGCTCCCTGGACCAGTGGGCCAGCTGGCTGGACAACGTAGTCACCCAGGTCCTGAAGCAGCACGCGGGCAGCCCCAGCTTCCCAAAGGCTGCACGGCAGTTCCTGCTGAAATGGTCCTTCTACAGGTAGGTGTGCCCTTGATCTCCCAGAGAGCTCCAGGCCTGGGAGGGAGGCCAAGGCCCAGAGACGCAGACCAGCCTGTGGGCCTCACTCCTGGGGGCTCCCGGGGCAGGCCCAGAGCCCCCTGGGGCCTAAAACTGGGCTACAAGGGCTTCTGCAGACAGAAACCATCATCTTGGGCCCGCCTGCTGGAGAGACACGGCAGCTCAAGCACGAGCCTTTGTTTCTGCCCCTAGAGCACCCCCACGGAGTGAGGTAAAGGAAGAATCTAGAGAGAACAGGAGCGCAGGTGGTGGCAGGTGGGAGATGAGAACCAGGTGGGGAATCGTGGTGCAAGGGGCCGGCTAGGACAGCAACAGGATGAAAACAGGATGCGACATGATCCTTTATCCCCTCACTGCCAAGCACAAGCAGGGGGCAGGGACGGGCGTCGGCTCCCCACAGGATGGTCCTGGGCGAGGGTTAGGTGGACATGTTTTAAAACGATGTATGTAACTGTATTATAGTGAATTAGGTGTGTGTGTGTGTGTGAATGTAAGGAGATTTATTTCAGGGAACGGGCAGGCGTGATCGCGGGGCCAGCACGTCCGAAGTCCGTAGCAGGGACTGACGGGCTGGACGCTCAAGTGGGGGGAGCAGATGCCGCCGTCCGCAGGCGGGGACCCCTTCCTCCTCAGGGAAACCTCAGTTTTGCTCCCAAGGCCCCTCTGCTGACTAGGTGAGGCCCACCCCCAGTGTGGAGGCTGAGCTTCTCCACCTCAAGTCGAGGGATGGTGGACGGGAACCATGGCGATGCCTAGACTAATGTTTGACTGAATCACTGCCCACCACTGACACAGAAAACTAACCGTCACGGAAAGTAAACGTGAGAGAGAAAAACATATGGAGAAAGAAACGTGAGAAAGAGAACCCATGAAAGGAAACCAAGAGAGAAGGAAAAAGACATGAAAGGATCAATCCCGGCAGTTTACTAGCCAGCTGATAGGAATTTTTTTTTTTTAAGAGAGAGAAAACGGAGGAAAAGAAAATAATAACTAAGGGCTCAAGTTTCCGAGAGCTGCCGGGTTCCCCGCCCCGTGGATGAGCTTCCCAGCCTCACTGTGACGTTCAGACACCTAGGATAAGAAAGGATCGTAAAGGCATCCAGGGAGAAAACAGCGGGTCACACCGCAGGCCAGGAACCAGAGCAGCATCAGACTTGTGTGCGGCCACGCAGGGCCCAGGAGGCCGGGGAGCGGTGTAGTCAGGATCGCGCGGGAAAGCTGTTCCCACGCTGCACCTCTCACCTGGGCGAACCCAGAAAACCCGGGCTGCGCTCACCCAGAGAAGCCCTTCGGTGGAGTTCCAGTCGCACTCAGCGATAGACACGTGGAAACGGAGCGTTTTGTTGAACGGAGGCGATCAGCTGTTCTCTACCTGCAGGCCGTGCAGGACGGCCCGCCGGCCGGCTGCGGCCCAGGGCTCAGGCTGCTGTCCACCGGGGCTGTGCGGATAAATGCTCTCGGCGTGAGGCCAGGCCCACTCGCTTACAGATCCTCAGCAGCGCCGAGCAGTGGCGAGCAGAAGACTGCTGACTGTCTGGCTCTTATCGGAGCGTTTCCCGACCCCTCGGCCGGCTGCTGGCCCGGGCACTCCCTGTTCCCATCGCCGTCCTCATGCTCTGCCCTGGCCTGCTGGCCTCAGGGCCTCTGCGCTGCCCTCCCCTGCCTGGAGCATCGTTCCCCAGGGAGCCCTGTGGCCCGATCATCCTCAGAGAAGCCTGCAGACCTCCCGAGTGAAATAGCGTTCCCCTTCTCGCCCTCTGTCCCCTGCGCCTGGATTTTCTTCCATTGCCCGTCACCCCGTTCTCTGTTTGCTTGTCCGTTGCCTGTCTCCTCGACAATCACCCGTGTCTCCTCAAGAGCTGGGACATCGCCCTTGTTCACCGCTGCTTCTCAGCATCCGGATGTTGAGTGATGAATGAACAAGAAAGGGATTGTAAGCCTGACTGACCACGTGGCTCAGCTGTGGACTTACACCCCATCGCCACGGAGGGAACAGGATTTAGTCCGAAAGTGCGAAAAAGCAACACTGGGGTGATGGGGGAGGAATGGAGTCAGAGTCGGTGGCTGCAGAGAAAGCCGGTGGGGACTCAGCCCCCCACCCCCGTGGCCGGAAGTCGTGACCTGAGGAATCAGGACTGGTAGGGTGACCCCGTGACTTACACCGCAGAGATGCGAACCCAGCTGAGGCTTGCAAGTGGCTGCGGCCTCCGTGAGAGGGGGCTGCTTTTCTCTGTAACGACGGAGGCCCCACCTGACTCCAGCTTGTTGAGTTTAAGGGACTTGTCTCTGTAGCGTCCACCAGCAAATGGACAGCGGTGGGCGGGGGCTGGGTAAGCTGACGGCCACTGACTTTCCCACCGCAGAAAGTTGCGAGCCCGTTTGGAAAACCCAAAACATACCAAGGTGACCATGGAGACGGTTCAGAAAAGCCTCTCGATCCAAAGCTTCAAACCAGACACTGAGGCTTGGGGGCTGCCGGGTACCAGCGCCCGACCCAGGGGGTCCTTCACGGAAGGGTGCCGGGTACCCCTCTGGGTGGGCAGAGTGGGAGGGTGACTCGAAGCATTCGGGCCTGGGGTCTCCCATTAGAGCGGCAGCAGCACAGACCGTACCTTAACACTTTGAAACGCAAGCAGCTTCGTTCCAGGCCCGTGTTATCGGCAGCAGCGTGAAAACCAAGCACCGCTTCCAGGCATGGGGAAGGGAGGGTGGGAGGGGGTGAGGGGTGAGGGGGGCCCCTTCCCAGGGACCCGTGGTCTGTGTTCACTCGCTTACCTTTAGGGGGTCAGCCATACGGAGCCAAAGGAGCTTCTGAGCAGAAAACACATCCCGAACCCCGAGCCTGTTCCCTGTGCCCACTTAGGCGGCCTTCGTCTTCATTCTTTGTGAACGTTCTTCAGGTGACCTTTGCCTCCTAAAGTGCTCATCTGGACACAGGCAGGCACCACCCGGGTCCCCTCCTTGGTTGCCCTTCCAGGGCATCTGGAAGCCACAGCCGGCTGGAGCCAGCTCTCCTTTTCCACGGCTGAACCAGAGTGCCGTCAGAGCGTGTCTGCACACTGGCCCGGGGAAGATGCAAGAAGAGTCAAGTAAACTGATTTGTTGTCGGCTGTCTTTGCTGACTTGCCCGCATGCCCCATTGCTAACACGCAAGCAGCAGCAGTTTCAACCTGTTAAAAGATAAACTGAGGCTCGTTAAATTTTCAAGAGACTCTTTGAGGGACCTCCCTGGTGGCACAGCGGTTAAGAATCCACCTGCCAATGCAGGGGACACGGGTTCAAGCCCTGCTCCGGGAAGATCCCACGTGCCGCAGAGCAGCTAAGCCCGTGCGCCACAACTACTGAGCCCGCTCTCCAGAGCCTGCGAGCCACAACTACTGAGCCCGCGCGCCTAGAGCCCCTGCTCCGCAGCAAGAGACGCCACCTCAGTGAGAAGCCTGCGCACCGACTGCAACGAAGACCCAACGCAGCCAAAAATAAATAAATAAATAAAAAGATTCTTTGAGCAAACATCACTTTGAAAGCCAAAGTCGTTAACAGGCTCCCCGGACAGGAGCAGGGGGAGAGTTGTTTACGCAGAAGGAAATGATTTGATGGCTGCAGCTTGGGTGCTCTGACAGATCTCGCCGGGTCCTGGATGCTTGGACTCCAGGGTGGCAGGGCCACCCCGGGGCGACGCCCTGTGGTTCCTCTCCTGTCTTGTCCCTTCCTGTTTCTTTTCTGGGTACCACAGCGATTAGACGTCACCGAGAGTAGGTGAGTTCTGAGCTGGAGTGTCCAGGTGTTTGGGGCCACGTGGCAGTGCACGTATAGGCCAGGGTTTTTGGTCGGGGACCACGTTTAATAACTCCTTTAGGTCGGCGCTCGCTTTCTCTGGAAAGAATCAGATAGTAGATCTTTTTGAGGGCTAAAGTTTTCCAGGCACACAGCACATCAACGACAGGCACAGCCAATAAAACTTTATTAATGGATGCTGCAGTGTGAATTTCAGGTACATTCCATGTGTCGTGAAATACAATTCTTTTGACTTTTTTTGCCAACCATTCAAAACTGTAAAAACCACTCCTGGCTGGCAGGCTGGATCTGGTCTGGCTTGGGCCGCGGTTTGCCAACCCCTGCTTTGGATGAAAGAGGCAAAGGTGCCCTGAACTGGAATCTCGTCTTTAGGCGCCTAAAACTGCTGGCTAAGGATGGGAAGGATGGGAAAGGCCGCGGGGTGGTCTGGGAGGCTGGCAGGCCCCTCGCAGGCCAGCTCGGGGCTGGAGGGGAGCCTGGCGTCCCGGAGGTGCCAGCCCGTGTCTGCCGCCTCAGCTCCATGGTGATCCGCGACCTCACGCTGCGCAGCGCCGCCAGCTTCGGCTCCTTCCACCTCATCCGGCTGCTCTACGACGAGTACATGTTCTACCTGGTGGAGCACCGCGTTGCCGAGGCCACTGGGGAGACGCCCATTGCCGTGATGGGAGAGGTGAGCGCCCCCGGGATGAGAGGGCCGGCCTCGGGGCCCGAGAGAACACACTCGTGGGGGCGGGCGGCGGGTGGGAAAAAGCTCGCCTGCCCCAGCAGGACAGACCCTGGCTCCTCTGTCCCCTACTCGCGTGGCCCGGGCAGGATTTCCGCCTCATTGAGGTAAAATACACAGAAAGTAAAATTTACCTTTTTAACCATCTCAGAGGAAACAATTCAGTGGCATTTAGTACACTAACAGCGTTGTGAAACCACCATATCTTGTTCTAGAACATTCCATCACCCCAAAAGAAAACCCCACCCCCTTGGCAGTAAACCCCCCCCAGCCCCTGGCAAGCGTGAACCCACTCTCTGTCTCTGTGGATCGGCCTGTTCTGGACGTTTCCCATCAATGGAACCACACCCTGTGTGTCCTTCTGTGTCTGGCTTCTCTCACTGAACATCGTGTTCTCGAGGTCCGTCCACGTGGTAGCGAGCATCGGTGCTTCTGTCCTTCTTCTGGCCAAATACTGTTTGATTGCACGGATATGCACCATCTTGCTGATCCATCACCTGTTGATAGATGGGCTGTTTCCACCTTTTGGCTGGTGTGAATCGTGCTGCTGTGAGCATTCATGTACACATTTTGTTTGAACACCTGTTTCCATTCTTTGGGGTATAGACCGAGGAGCAGAATTGCTGGGTCATGACAGGGTTGTTTCAAGGAAGAAATGAGGCGACACTTGTAGAGCTTTTAGTACGTGATAAGCCCGTGATAAACAGCAGCTTTTCCTTCACTGACCACTCAGAGGCCACAGCCCTCCAGCGGCTCCCAGGCAGGGCCCTGGAAAGTGTTAGAGGGGCCACATCCAGACACCCAGCAGCCTCAGGGCCACTTCTCACGGCAGAAGCCCTCTCACTTACAAAGCGAAAGCCCGATTCCTCTGTGGACGAGGACATTGCTAACCTTCCCCGGCACCTGCTCTGCAGAGGGCCCTCACTCCGGGCTTCTCTCTTTCAGTTCAACGATCTTGCCTCCCTGTCACTGACACTGCTCGACAAAGGTGGGTGTGTCTGGGCTTTCCCTCCTGTCCTGGGCCTGGTGGTGATCAGGGCGGCCCCTGGGGCGGGGACACTGGGGGCTCAGAGCAGAGGCCCTGCCCCTCCTACTGGATTACGTTTACTCCTCTCCCTGGTTCCCTGCACACCAGGCCCCTCAGCGCAGGGCCACGGACAGGACTGGTGCCGGTGCTGGGGCTGGCGGGGTGAGGGCCTCCTGCGGCCACGTCCAGAGGGGGAGCAGGGCAGGCGGGCCAGAGAGCACCCTCCCCGGGGGCCCATCCCCTGCCCCGTGGAGGGGGGGGGGGCCCAACCGTCAAGGGCGACGCTGCCGGGAGCACAGCCCAGGCACATGGGCGTTGGTCGTGGGGAGGAAGGCCTCCAGGTTGACTGGGTCAACCCAGGCCCAGGCTAAGACAGTGCCCTGCCCTGGCCCCTTCGCGCCCCCTGAAGATGTGCCCCGCGCCCCACCCCGCCTCCACAGATGACCTCAGCGAGGACCGTGGAGGCAGCGAGGCCCGCTCGGAGGCCCGAGGCCGGGGCGAGCCCCTGGTGAAGCGGGAGCGCAGCGACCCCAACCACCCGCTGCAGGGCGTCTAGCTGGGCCGCGCTGCCCCGGCTCCAGGTCCCTGAGCTCCGCCGCGGTAGTGCCTCCTGGATGAAGTGACCTTTACTCTGAGTGCCGGGGCCCCCAGGCCAGGGCGCCCTTAAAGGACACGCTCTCCGTCAAGAGGAAAACCGTTGCGACCACGACCGAAGCCCAGATGGGGCGCCCAGACCCCTTTTCCTTCTTCTGAATGTTCCTTCCCCCACTGCAAACATCCGCCTCCAGAGCTGGAAGGGGCCGTGCTGAGCGAGTCGCTACCTCCACTTCGGGCATCTCCCCCTGCCAGCTCGTTCAGATTTTCACCCTGATTTGAAAAAACTCCAGCAGGTCCCGGGGAGGAAGGGATGTCCCGCAGCCGTCGGGCAGCGCCAAGCTGACCATGTCCCCGCAGCCCCCCTCAGGCCCTGCGGTGGGGAGAGGCCATCTCGGTCCTCGCCCCGTGGCCTCCTGCCCTGCCGGCCGCCAGGCACCCCATCTCTAGACCCCGAAGGGATCAGAAGCAGCCGCCAATTGCGTCCCCGGACGGCGCGCATCCCACGGCCCCACGTGGCTCAAAGAACACGTCACGGAAGCAGGCCCGCTCGTGGTGGGGGCGGGGCCTTTCAAAATCAAAGCCAGAAGCTTGATGAGCAACCAGAAGGACTGTGAATCTGTCCAGGTTCACAGCCAACGTCAAGTTAAACTGTGAGGTCTGGAATGAGTTTGTTCCAAGGGGGCCGGGAGGTCAGGGTCTCCGCCGCGCCTTCAGAGGGCAGCCATCCTGCCAAGTCTGTGCACGAGCAACCGTGCCTGAGCCCCGCTCCACAGAACCTTCCAGAACGTCTGCCTTTGAAGTAGCAATCCCAGAACACTGTGAACCCGGCAGGTCCCATCTTGAACTGCTCAGGGTCCAAACTCTTCTCTGGGGACAAACAAATCCCAAGGGCTGTCCCACCCCTGACCTTGAAACTCTCCAGATCTGTGTCCCTCGTAACGTGTTGCACCAGTAAGCCCTGTGCCAGAGTTCCGCTCCCGAAGCAGCTGCAAAGAAGAAAGACAAACCTCTGGTCTAAGAAGCATCGGCTTCTCAAATGCAATAATTTCTCCTTTTGGAAATATGTTCATACGAATAGTTTTGTGCTCTAATTGTTAATAGAACATTCCTTATGAATGTGTATATCGCAGTATATTCAGTCCCCCATGTTGTTTTCTCATTCATGCAGAAGGTACTAATGTAAACTCACGAGGCCTTTAAAAACCCTACTTCTCGACAAGCAGGAGCGCTGTGCATCCCTGGCGCCCGCAGGTGCCCAGGGAGAGCAGCAGGGAAGGACGAGAAATCTCATTTTAAGAAACCAAAAGCCCGTCATGATCACAACGTGCGTGTGGTCTTAAAGTTGCAGACTCAGATGAACTCAGACAGAAGGAATGTCTTTAAAGCTGCATCTCCTTTCCTGGGAGACGTTCAAGCTCACGGCTCCCGGATTGTGACGCCTGCCTTTTCTTCCACGTTTCTGCCTTACACTCTGTCTAGTCCTTTGCCGGATTCCGCGAGGAGGAATATAAATGACGGTAAAGACACCAGCCTTCCGAGCCCGTTCTCGTTTCCCGTTGCAATAAACACACTGAACGTGCCCGTTGTGGGTCGCAATCCACGCTCCAGCCTTTGCCCCGCCGCCCACTCCAGTGGCCTTGGAGGACGAAGCCCTCCCTCCCACACTCCCCTGGCCCTGGCACAGCCAGCCTGGCCAGACCTGGGCCACACGAGCCCAGGAAGGGAGGGCAGCAGTGCTTTCCTCCGGCTCTCTGGGGAATGTTCCAGAAGGAGCATTTAGCAAGGCCAGAGAGGGCAAGAAAACAACTCTCAGCCCAGGATGGGCGAGACTGTAAACAGACTAAACTGGTTCAGAGACGCAGAATAAATCCACGCTCCGGCCGCTGACACAGCCCACTGGTGGTTTACGGGGTTTATCTGGTAAAGCGGTGGGGCCCGATCTTCAGAACCCCCTAAGAATCAGGGCGTGAGCTTCTTCCGAAATCGTCAGTTCCTGGGCCCCATCCCCAGAGAGCCTGGCTCGTGGGCTTAAGGTGCAGGCGGAGCATCCGTACTGTTGTGACCACCCGCTCTGGGGGACCGTGACACGGGGCATTACAGGACTTTGAAGAAACCCTGCAGAGGAGAGCGATGCGCTCAGGAAGGGCCCACAGGGGGGAGGATGTTCCAGAAACGTGGACGCAGTTCCCCGTTAGTCGCCCATAAAAGCTGCTTCTCAGGGGCCAGGCTGGTGCCCCGTGTGCCGCCGGAGATGCTCAGCCTTGGCCCCAGCCCGGGCCCCTCTGTCCCGGGTGGAGGCCCTGGGGACCCCAGGTGACACTAAAATCATCCATCGCTATCCCAGGCTGGGAACTCCAGGGCCTGCGCTTGGCTTAAGGCTCTGCTGCCACCATCCTGAAATTCTTAAAAGAGTTTTCCAACAAAGGGCCCCTGCTTTAATTTTGCACTGGGCCCCACAAATACTGTGGCCAATCCTGGGGAGGAGCTCTCAGGACCCAAGCACGCAGCCTCCCCTCAGCCGGGTGGCCAGGCCCTGACTCCAGGCCGACTCCTCTGCCAGGCTCTCAGAACCCAGCGGAACCCAGACTCGTCCCTACCCTCCCGTGGTTCACGATTTCAGCCCGAGGCCCCCTGAGCAGCACCAGCTCTTGCGGGGAGCAGGAGCCGCCCCCGAATCTTCCCCCTTGGAGATCCCGGCCCGGGGCCAGGCAGCAGGGTCCCTGGGAGGGGGGAGCACCTTAGGGCCTGGGTGGCTGGTGAGGCTCTTGAGCACAGGAGATGCCCACGTGATTCCTGCCCCAGGAGCTGGAGGGGAGACGAGGAGGGGAGGCTGCCGAAGGCCCGTGTGTCCCTAGCCCGTTGGGTAGGGCTCCGGGGCACAGGCACAGCGAAAGGGGGACCCAGTCCTACCAAGAGCCTCCAGGAGGTCCTGACCAATCACAGTGGCTTCTCGCCATTGTGGTCCATTCTTCTCTTCTTTTTGACAGTCTTCCAAGGTAGGTGTTAACCCCGCCCACCATTGTGCACATGGGCAAAATGAGGCTGCTGGCTGGAATGCAAGCAGGATGGCTGGAGCCCCGGCAGCCATCTTGGAACTCAAGGTGGACATCATAAGGATGGCAAAGCAATGAGACAGAAGGTACCTGGGTTCCTGGTGATCATTATAACCCTAATGGCCCTGAGTCAGAGTTCAATAAGCCACAGTTTGGGAGGGTTGCAGGGGGACCCGTAGGCGTTCTAGCCTCCAAGAACTCTCTGGTAGCAAGAACTCTGAAGTGAGATGCGAGGCGTGCATGCGTGCGTGCGCGCGCGCACACACACACACACACATATACACATCAGTTGCAGGAATGCTAAGTAAGAAGGGAGAGATTCTCCCTGGCTGGGAGTGTCACCCCCACCCCAGTTTTCCTCCCACTTCTCTGGCTGCCCCCCCCACCCTCTGCACCTGGGTCCTGCTCTTTCCACACCCTCCATGACCTCGTCCATGTGCTGCTGACTTGCTCCACAGCTGCCCGCCCACCGTGGCTCAGAGGTTCGTGGGTGCCTCGCCCTCCAAAGGGCGAGACAGGAGCTCAGCATCTGACGATCCAGACCTCCTGCCTGTATCCCCATCCCACTGCCCGAGCCAGAAACCCAGGGCCACCTGCATGCCCTCCGTCCCTCCTACCTCCTCCAGACTGCCCCTAACATGGCCACTGGTTCCTTCCTCCTGGCCACTCCCTGAGACCTCCCCGCCTGGAGATGCAGCAGGGCAGCCGGGCTTGGACAATAGCTGTGCCCTCACGTAAATTACTTAGATCAGTTTCCCCATCTGGGATAAAAGGGTAATAAAAACACCTACCTCACAGTGTTGTTGTAAGATTTAAATAAGTTGATTTATAGAAAGTACTGGAGTAAGCATTCAACAGTTGTCTCTCAACCTTGGCACCCTTGGCATTTGGGGTTGGCTAAGTCTCTGGGTTAGAGGAGGGGCCGTTCTGGACACTAGGGGGGCGTTGAGCAGCACCCCTGGCCCACTAGCACCCCACCCCCACTAGCACCCCACACCCAGTGGCAAAGACCATAAATATCTCCAGATACTGATTGCCAAGTGTCCCCTGCCCCCAGGTGAGAACCACCGGGTAATAGCATTCTCATTATTATCAGTTCTCTGCATCTTTCACACCTTGGCAACCATGTCACTTGTCACTTGTCTTTTCCTCCCGCGACCCACTTGCTGCTCTGATTTTTTTTTTTTAAGATAGCATGATCCTTTTTAAAAAATATTTATTTATTTGGCTGCACCAGGTCTCAGTTACGGCATGCGGGATCTTTAGTTGCAGTGTGCGGGACCGAACCCAGGTCCCCTGCATTGAGAGTGCGGAGTCTTAACCACTGGACCACCAGGGAAGTCCCTGCTCTGACTTTTTGCTCCTGGAACTCACCCCAGTGTCTCATTTCAGGCTCTTTCACCTTCATTGCTCTTCCCACCTAAACTCCACACACACACCCCTTCCTCTTTAGCATTCATCTTAACTGACACCTCCTCCAGGAAGCCTTCCTGGAAGATCCCCAGCTAGATTAGGATGGATCCCTTCTACCCCGTATTTCCTGCACTACTTTATTATGATTGTTGGCAAATCTCTTTCCCATGAGCTCTGAGGGTGAGTAGCTCTGATCTGGCTTGCTCAATACTGTATTTCCCACATCTTGCACAGATAAAATTAAATTCATTCAGGAGGCCACCACCACCATTTTTTGATATAATCGAAGCTGGGCTTTAGAAAGACTTATTCTGGTGCGTGGATCACACACGAAGAAAATGGAAGCAAGGGGGTCACTAGGTACTTGTGAAGATGGTACAGGCCGGGTGGGGGGTCAGAGTGTCGCAGTGCAGATGAAGGCGGGGGAGCAGAGGCAAGAGGGCTGCTAGAGCAGCAGGCCAAGCGGCTGTGAAATCAAGTTGGTGGATTTGACCCGTTTTTCTTTGTAATGGACCAGGAGAGAAATAGAAAAGATCAGGAGTGTCAGTGTAATTAGCAAAGATAACTATGGCTTTGTAACATCTCAGTATACGTTATACGATGTGTGTGGACATACACATACGGGACTGGGCTGCATGTAAAGTGTACTGAACACACATACATATTGAAAGCCACAGTCCTAGAGACTAGTTCTCACCTATGCTGAGGTCATGGATCCCTTTGAGGATCCTCTGTGATGGACGCCTGTGGGGTTTTGCTACCGAGCGTCTACCTGTTCTACCTTCTTTGGACATAACACTCCGATTCCTTCTGGGCAGTGACTTTTCTTCCCACCGTTTGAAACACCATCTGTAAGTGGGCGCTTCACACACTGAAGGAGGCTGCTCCTGGCCAAGGGGACGGAGGGGACGGGCTTGACATGTGAGGTGGCCCGGGGTGAGCTGGGAGGGAGACAGGGAGGGCTTCCTAGATCTTGGCGAGGCCTGCGGGTTGCATCCCGGGAGTGATGGCCCATGACCTCAAAATGGACGTCAAACTCCCCTCTGTCAACCCTCTTCTGTACAACTGTCCACTGGACCCCTGCACCTAAAGGCTCTCGCTCAATGAATAACTGACCAGAGCATAAAGTGGATAGAGTCGGGGAAAGCAGGAGGGGGCAGGGATTAATAACGTGCCCTGCCATGCTGGACGCATCTGACCCCTCCTCCTCAGAATCTGAATTGTGAGCTGAATATAAGACAGACAGCAGTTGAAGTTTGAGCATTCTCGGGAGGTGACCCACCGGTTCCCAAGACCCACTGGAGCTGCCCAGTTTCTTCTCTTCTCTCTCTGATCTTAGGAACATGCTCATCGCTTTCCAGCAAACTTTCCACTTGCTTACATTTGACAGAGGTGTTCTGGGGGGTTTGCAAGCAGTCTCCAAACCGATACATCCTCGGTACCCATGAGTCTTGCAGGCAGTTTCAGAAGGGATTCTCAGGCCCCCCCCGAAGCCCGCCCAGGATAAAGAGCCCCTGTTTTAGACGTGGTGCATGCCTAGTGCTGGGAGTGTAATCAGGGCAGCCAGCAACTACCTGACCTGTTTCCCAGAAGATGACAGGCCTCAGCTGGGGCAGAGCCTTTGAGCTTCTGCAAGTTTATTTACTTAGAAGGAACTAAACTGCTTTTCATCCTAGAGCCCAGTTTTCATTTCATTCCCAATCCTCTGCTGCCCCCCTGTGGTCACTGTGTGACACAGCCTCTTCCTTTTCACCCCAGGGAAACCAGCCAGCTCGGGATTTTGCCTAGAATGGAGGCTGTTTTGTTTACTAAAATTGCAATCATGCATGGAAAGACCACAAGCAATGGAGTGCAAGAGCTAGCTGCCTCTTCTCTCCATCTGCCTCTCCTCCTCTTCCTCAACTATTCCCTATTTATTTATCTCCCCACAAGATAGTCAATAACTACAAAGGGAAAAGTATCAGTGGTAAACTGGCCGACACCGGTGATCTGAGTTGTAAATGGTACAAATTGACATCAGGTGCCTCCTGATAGGTTCGTCCAAAATTCAACACCTGAATTTAATCAGGAGGAAACAGTCAACAGACCCAAAATGAAAGGGTAGTCTGCAAAATAGCTGGGCAGCACACCTCACCAGTGTCATGGGGAAGGAAAAATAAGACAGAGGAATTAATCCAGACTAAAGGAAACTGAGGAGTAATGACATCTAAATGCAACAAGAAATCCTGGACTGGATCCTGGAACAGGAACAAAACACTGGCAGTCAGCAGGTGAGACCTGAATAGGTTTTTACGCCAGTGAATCGTACTGCGTCGGTGTGAATTTCCTGGTTTTGATCATCGTGCTGTTTACGTAAGATGTTAACATTTGGAGAAGCTGGGTGAAGGCTGTATGGCATTTCTTGGTACTATTTTTGCAACTTCTTTGTAAATTTGAATTTCTTTCTTTTTTTTTAGGGTTAGGGTAAGTCTGAATTTATTTTAAATTGAGGGTTAAATCTTTTTAATTACAAGTAAAATAGAGTGCGGTCAGCATTTGCTCCTAGCTCCATACCACGTTTAGCTGCTGCAGAGCGAGAGAAGCTAGTGCACCCAGCTCGAGGCAAGGGTCCTCCTCTTGGCCTCAGCGTCAGCTGCAATGGACACCTTGCTGTCAAGAACGTGACCCTGTGGACTGCGGGGGGGGGGGGGGGGGGGGCGCTGCCGAGCAGAGGAGGCCAGGAACTGTAGCTGATTAATATCTGGGTCCTCACCCTCTGCCTGGGGCTGGGCACAGAGCAGATACTTCACGGGGCCAGCTCCCTGCCCACGATGGGAAGATGAGAACAGAATTACAGCTGTGAAAGCCCTTTTTCCTGGGCTTGGCTGTAGAGAGGGAAGTTCCCAGTTCTCAGAGCTCAGCCCGGGCTCGGTGGGTTGGGGGTTCCTCAGACTTCTCTCCTGATGAGCCGAGGAGGAAGCAGGCAGCAGAGAGGTCAGATGGTCAAGGGAAACCATCTGGATCCCTCCATTTCCCACTTCCGACCCTTGTCTTGGGAAAAACCTCAAACTCCTCCGAGAACTCTGTGGCCTACAAGGCCCTGCATGGCCCCTCGCTCACTCTGCCCTGGCCACACTGAGCTCCTCGCTGTTCTCCAGCTCAGCAAGCTGGTTCCCGCCTCAGGACCTTTGCACTCACTGTTCCTGTCTAGAGTGCTCCTCCTGCAGGTCTTCTACTAGAATGTCATGTAGAACCGTGTGTCAGGCACAGTAGGTGTGGTGGATATATACTGCTGTGTAACAAATATTCCTAAACTTAGTGGCTTGGCTCATAACAGCAACTATCGTTTCTCTTTCATGGGGGGTGAGAAACAGGAAGGGCCAGGCTGGGCAGGTCTCTCTCAGGGCTTTGCCTTTCAGTGTCTGTTTCAGCTTCCTTATAGAATGGCAGCCTCAGGGCGGGTGGACAGCTTCCATGACGGCTGAAGGCTTTTAGGGCAACTGTTCCAGCAAAGCAGGCAGAAGTTGCATCCTCTGTCCCTGTCATGACCCAGCCTCGTAAGTCACATGCTATCATTTCCACGGACTCTACTGATGGACCAGTAACCAGCCACTCCCATTCAAGGGAAACAGAGCCCTCACCTCTTTTTTTTTTAATTGAAGTATAGTTGATAAACAATGTTGTTAATTTCTACTGTACAGCAAAGTGATTCAGTTATATACATATATATATATATTCATTTTCATATTCTTTTCCATTGTGGTTTATCACAGGATACTAAATATAGTTCCCAGTAGGACCTTGTTGTTTATCCATCCTATACTTAATAGTTTGCATCTGCTAATCCCAAACTCCCAATCCATCCCTCCCCCGCCTCCCCTGCCTCCCCTCCCCTTTGGCAACCAGAAGTCTGTTCTCTTATGTCAGTGAGTCTGTTTCTGCTTCGTGGATAAGTTCATTTGTGTCGTGTTTTAGATTCCACATATAAGTGATATCAGGTGGCATTTGAGACCTCACCTCTTGATGGGAAGAGGGTCAAAGAATTTGGGGCCGTTTTAAAACCACCACAGTAGGTAATCAACAAATATTTGTTTAATAAGTAAATGTTGAGGACTTCCCTGGTGGCACAGTGGTCAAGAATCCGCCTGCCAATGCGGGGGCCACGGGTTCAATCCCTGGTCTGGGAAGATTCCACTAAGCCTGCACACCGCAACTACTGAAGCCCGCGCACTCTAGGGCCCGCGTGCCGCAACTACTGAGCCCATGCGCTGCAACAAGAGAAGCCACCACGATGAGAAGCCCGCACACAGCAACGAAGACCCAGCGCAGCCAAACAAAAACGTTGACTAAATTAATGTATTAGAGGAGACCAGATAAAGAAAACAAAGGAACAACTAAGGGGCATG